ATTTTCAGTACAAATCGGCAATTTCATACTTTAACCCCTATTATTTTGAACTATCAAAGTGTTCCAATTTTAAAATATCTTGATAAAATATTCTTTAACAAATGTTTAACAATTAAATATTAACTTATATTAAAAGAACATTTTCAGCTTGTAACATTAGTACTATAGAAAGCAACAGAAAAAATGCGGGAGTTTTTTCGCTGCATCTGGTAATCTTCACGCACACAAATGCGCATATCCCTACAGTGCACTTTCTAGTCATCACGCACACAATAAATGAAAAGCGGCTTCGCTTCGTTCGTTGCGTATGGTTCATCTGCCTATTGTTTGGTAGTCTGAATCATAACCTATTATTGAGTTTGTTGTCAAAATCAAACCAGAATACTTGCCCGTGGGCGTAACGCAATATAATCCCTCCATAACTCCTTTAATAGGGTTAAGCTGAATAAATAATGACCTTTCAGCAAGACTGTCGCGTAAGTTTCTATCACAGACCACATAAGTGGTTTCTATGAACTACCTCAGATGAAAGATATCATAGTACACATTATGACTGTCTTGTAGTAATTTAACAAAATAACAATGCAAAATTTATGTGTTCTCTACTTGATAACTAAGAATATATTAGTGAGTAAGACAGTATGTAATTGGAAATAAATTCAGGCTGGTGGTTACCGCATGTTCAAAATAATTATAATTTTCAAAGTTAGAAGCGTGAACTCAATGACAAGTTCAGCACCGGCGATAACTGACCGAGTCATTTCTAACTTAAACTCTGACGCTAGTATACCGATATGACAACTTTTTAATTCCATGTATTAAGCAAACACTGGAATGATAGAGAAAGTGAGAGAGAGACACTTTAGAAGCATTTTTTACAAATGTGACAAAGTCTCATAAATATCAGTTTTGATCTCTCAACCGCAAATATCTTATAAACTTATGACTGTCCATAACCTCCCACTGATGAACTTATGGCGACCGCAATTTCGAATCAGTGATACGAAAATTGGTTAATTGCGATGAAAAACTGTTTACGATTAATGACTTTGAGATGTTTTGAAGCCGTGGTAGCCTAATGATGAAGCTGTAGTAGCTTAATGATTTCATACACAGCCTCTCAAGCATACAGTCGTAGATTCGAATCGAAACTAGCACCTCTTTCGGAATTTATGTGCATAAATTGTATTTGAAATTTACCATGAGCTTTTCGGTGAAGAAAAATATCGTGAGGAAACCTGCACACATATGCAAAGCAATTTGATGATGAGAGAAGTTCCCAATCTCAATATACAGCCATCTCGTTGTGAGCTACACTTTGAGATCGCCAGTCAACACCCTTGAGATAAATTTATTTTATTTATTGTTGAGTGTAAAATTACTTAGTACGGTTCCGATAATCACAGTGTGTTTGTTTTTTTATTTCTGTTCACAAAACAAGTACGTGCACATTGACTCAGTAAATTTTGTGTCAGTGCAAGCACTTTTGATGCAGACAGCAATATAAAAAAACACAAAAGACATTGATTCATAGACTACTAACTTATTATTGCATTAAACAAGATATAAGCAAAACAAAAACAGTGATTGTAACCGAAAAAAAAAATTGTAATAGATAAGTACGAATTCACACCAATTCTATGGAATCGTGCTTATTAACAACGTCGATTAACACGTAAGCTACATTGTTAGCAAACGCCCACTCATTGTTCATTCCTTAAATCACTGGGTACTGACCGGGTTGCCTCCTTTCAGAGATTTGGGATCGGCTGTGATAATCCCTGTCTCATCACAGACTATTAAACGTCCTTGGCAGTCGAACCCGACCCTCGTTTATTCTATTATGGAAATCCGTTCTAGAGAACTTCAGCCGTCGGCAATAAATAGTACGTACCAGACAAGATCAGGTGTAATAATTGTGTAAAGTTAGCAAAATATTCTGTGATTTCCTCGGAAGTACGGTTGAATTCATGCATTCAACAACACAACTTGACAGCGCCCTCCGCAACCCATATCGACAGTGTCCGTAGGTGATATATCGGAAAAAGCCCGTTAATAACCCATCTTTGCAAACGATCGACTCCGTTCAAGGTGTGTACTTACTCTGCACTTTCTGCGAAGTTTGCCCGTAATTTATTTTATTATATAATATGTAGAATACATTTATAAACAACAACGTTGATGTCTACGTAACAATGTATCCTCTTTCACATAAATCAAAGGTCAGAGCCCCGTTTAAGTAAATTGACTCTCTTTGTTCATTTCTCGTGAATGTGGGTTAAAGGACAATACGTACCTTTCTGAGTATTTCGCCCACTATGCCTGTCCAGCCGCCGGAAGGGTTTTCACTGCCGAACGTACCGTCATTGACAAGTCGCAGCTCGTCTACAAAGTATTAATTGATATAATAGGCAGCTACAGTTAAACATCGCTTATTTTGTACAATTTCTGTTATTCAAAAGTAATACTCACATTTAATTTTCATTTGTTTTGCAATTAACTCTATAAGATCCTTGCAAAAACCATAAAAGAGATCGTTTCCTTGGCCATTTTCGGGGGTTGATTTTTGCATCAAGTAAGGATCTTGCAGAATTGACGTCACTATGTAGGTTTTGTTTACATCGTACGAATTGGGCGACTTCAGTTGGACGTATTTTGGTGATAAAGGTACATAACCGTGAGTGTCACTCCACGAGGCGACCTAAATATGTCAAACAATAATTCATAAGAAAATAATATGCTTAACAAAAATATGAAATTGTGGTTATTTATTTCAAAAACAGACACACGCGCTATTTTTACGTAAATTGTAAGTAAACAAAAAAGTTAACCAATAAAATAACAACAGTCAAATACATTCAAAGAGTTTTCGTCTAAAGTGGCGATCCGAAGAATGGCGCTCGAACTTTGAACGTATTGATTTATGAACGCCGAGAAATCATTAGTGAGTTGTGGAACTCGAGTTCGGGAAATAAAGTTAAAATTAACCTTTGCCTGGAGTACCTTTTTACCCAAACTAAAAACTTTCGGGTCACACCAAAGAAATTTCGCTCTAAAGTGTAGGTGAGCTACAACTTGCAAGAACTTCATTATTTCTTCAGGAATTTGAGGGAACGATTGACAATTGATTTTAATTAATAACTACTGCAGTTTAAACAGCATAGGTACCTACTATTAAGCAGACTAACTATAGTAAGTAAAACATTTTCATTTATATTTGTGCAATAGCATACCAACCTGTAACATTGCGCTCTGTACTGTCATTTCCACAACTTGCAAACTAAAATTATGACGATGTCCTTCTTCGTTGAATGAGATGTTTCCAGTAAGCCCTTCAATGTCGGTCTAAAAGAGACTCTATTATTATGATACAAATTATTACAGCTGAAAGATCGGTTCTGAAAAAAACATTCGTCAAAAATATGCCGAAATTTTATACGCATATCATACCTATACATTTACACACTCGCACGCGTATGGACACAGTTATGTACGCACGCACGTATGCACGCACGCATGCATGGACGCACGCACGCACGCACATAACATATGTATGCATGTTTCGGCATGTTTACATGTGGAGAATATGTAATACAGATAAAAATAATTGGCTCTTCCGAAACCATAAAAGTACTCTCACCTTTTTAATTAACCTTGATATTTTGTCGCCATGTTCAAAAGGCACTACCCAGCTTTTTCCAGGGTTACAGTCAATTACTTTTGTATTATTTGCTTGGCCGGCGGCGCGACGCAAGGCGTTTCTGAAAGCGTCAGGTTTTTTCCTCCAGAGTCTTCCTAGGGCATCCATCAAGACTTGCACGCCATCGTACATGAGCGCTGTTTGAGCCTAGAAGAAATATTCCTCTAAAATAAACTTCACTGTTATTTAAAACAGTGGCTAATAAATAAAGGCTTTACAAAGTTACCCACATTAGACTCACTTGAGTTACATTCGAAACGTGTTAACAATCGTGATGAGTTACTCGTAACTTAACTTCGAAACAATTCTCGAGAGTATTACGCGCTGCTGGTGCTAAAAATGGCGTAACCGTAACAAGTAACTACGCATCTATAGTATACGGAACATAGCATGACATAATAATATATGCAGAGGTACCCACTTAAGGTTTCATTAGGCCGCGTGAGAGTTAGTGAAATATACATAAACGTGTTACTCAGTTGAAAATTTCTTCGAACGTGCCTGTTTTATCACTCTGAAGATTCTAAAGTAGCTATATATTATACTTTACGTACATAATAGAATGGGCGTGTTAAACGCACTGTTAAAGCTCACTTCTCTACAGCTATGAGAATAGTTAGTTTCTGAATTGGGAATACTATACATTCTTCTTTTTTTTTATAAAAAATAAGTGCGCATTTGACCTGCATCTCACCTGATGGAAAGTGACGATGAGGTCGAGGATGTAGTATGCACTATGTAGTATGTAGTATGCACTATGTAGTATGCAATGTGGAAGCGAAACGCTTCGTGCGAATCCGGGAAATGTCCACAACATAGGGGTGGAATCCCCACGGAACAGCTGACGTCTAGTCTCCCGATGATAGTCAGGGGAAGGCGGAATCAAATTATGCAATTCCATCGCACACTCTCCGTGATGTATCCTGTAGACTACTGATAAGCTGGCAACTCTACGGCGGTGTTCAAGGCCCTGCAGCTTCGCCGAGTCACCTATAAGCCTCTTAGCACGCTTGTCTATTGAATCCAAGGTGGCTAGTTGATATTTAGCAGAGCCATCCCATAAGTGGCAGCAGTACTCCATACACGACCGGACTTGTGCTTGGTACAGCTGAAGCAACTGTTGGGACAGTTGCTTCAGCGTGAAGAGTGTGAAGTATCGCCTCACCTTGGAAAGGATGCCAAGCTTCTTGGCTGCATTTTTGGCCACGGATTCAATGTGACTGCCGAACCTCAGATTGGACGACAGGTCCATTCCAAGTCGGTCGGTCGATCGGCTATCGGTATAGACTGAGGAGCTCCTGAGGAGCTTCTGAGGAACTCTATCTAATCTATCGCCCTGTGTTCGGAAGAGTAGCCTTCTAAGACCACTCGAATCGATCGTTCACTCAAGAAAACCGAAATCCAATTGCAAAGGTCAGTGGGAAGCTCATAAGAGGGAAGCTCGCCATGCTCTTCTATAGCCTCGCTCCATAAGTGAGAGGCATACACAAGAAGATCCCCAGTAGATCGCCCTCTTCGGAATTCGTATTGGCGATCATTGAGGAGATCGTTGTCTTCAAGGTACGACAGGAGACGGTTGTTAAGCACACGTTCCATAGTCTTGCAGAGTATGGAAGTGACTGAGATAGTTATATAGTCGACACGTTCGGCTCCATCAGGTATCCTGCGGCATCCAGACGCAAACTCTCTGCAAAGAGTGAGGCGAAGAGCGTCTGGCCTCAGCAGAGATGGTAATGAGTGGCTACTAAAGTTTTTTTCGACCGCTTTGGCCAGGGTCCAAAAGGACTTGCCTCTTTTCCAGCTGCCTGCTGGAAAAGAGGCAAGCTTGGCCCCTATGCGGTGCACATACTACTAATAAAAAGACGCCACGACGACGTTACCTTTTATATAATTATGTACGAATACATTACCTACATCAATACATAAACGAGCAAGAAATGATAATACACGTACATAATCTAATTTAATCTAATTCAATCTAATTTGTAATAAATAAATACACATAATGACGCATTTAGTGGAGCACTGGTAAACACCCCAAAATATTGCATTTTTTTTTAATACTGGTTGGTTATACCAGTTTAATATTTTAGATTTAATTTGAAATTAAAATTGTCATTGGGTGACATTTATTTACTTTATTTGTTTTAATTTTCTACTAATACGGGTTTGTCAAGTTACTTTGCGTTCTCTGTACATATAATAAACTTTAATAGAAAAAGTTTTTTATTTACTAAACTTTGATTTAACCAATGTTAAATTGTTACAATTTTCAGATTTTCAGCGATATCTTCTTTGTCATAAAATCTAAAAAAATGCTTATGTTCAATTTCAATTTCTTTTGTGTATATAAATGTTGAGTACCGCTGTACTAAGTCGATGCTAAAGATATTACTTTAATTAGTACTTTATGCCTAATTCAAATTTATGCAACGTTACTATTTTATCCGCTCACGCGATGCGCTCATCCTACCGCAAAATGGCGGCTATTTGGTTTCGCAAATTAGAAAAGGATTCAGTTTAAATACAAGTTTTTATAAATAAAAATTATTATTCTGCATTGCTAAATAAATACCCTCCGTACTACAACAAAAACATCTCAAATAAAATGCAGTAAAACACCGCAAATCCTGCACTTAAAAAGCACTAATGAAATATGATAATATTCCGTTTGAGTGGTTCTAACGTTTACCATGAAATTACTCCTTAAAGTATACTTTATAAACATTTACATTCAGGGTAAACTTAAAAAACGCTACTTACGGTATGTTTTCAATAAATAAACACCGAAGTCACCAGACCAAACAATAACACACACGATTGTCGTGACGTATTTTTGAAGTCGTTTATTTTTTTTAAATGACAGACCCAGGCATTAAAAACTTTATGGTTTGCTAGAGTAGTTACCGAAACAGCAATTAATATTAGCTATTTTACCTGTTATAACTTCGATATCCGATAAATCGGTATAAAATCACCGGCACCTCTAGGTGTGGTATGCGTCTACGGCTGCATGTATCGCGTGAGCGGATAAATATATATTTTTTGTTTCCGTTAAATGTGCCGCTGTGTATACTATACAAGTCTTTAAATACTCGTTTTAATATTAATGGCCTCTGAAGTCAGGGGTTCCTCAGATATAAGAAGTATGTCGACTTAATCTTAATATGAATACATATACATACATACCGTTTTAATTAATAAATCATTGAATGACGGGGTATTTCCAGGAGCGTTGAAGAAGTCGATTGTGGTGCCTGTCTACAAGAGTGGGAATAGAGATTGCATTACAAACTATAGACCGATTTCTCTATTGACAGCTACATCTAAGGTCTTTGAAAAAATAATGAACAAAAGAATTAACAACTTTTTAGAGGCAAAAAACTTACTTTCTGAATCCCAGTTCGGTTTTAGGGCAGGCAGATCGGCTGAGGATGCAATACATAGCTTCACAGACTTTGTAATTCAAAAAATAGATAATAAAAAAAAATGTATAACAATATTCTTAGATTTGGCAAAGGCGTTCGACACTGTTTCTTTTCCCATTCTCATCGATAAACTTGAGGCGCTGGGTATAAGAGGAACCCAACTTTCTCTTATACGCAGCTACCTCGAAGATAGAACTCAGAGAGTAAAAATTGATTCAGTGCTTAGTCAGGATGCAAACGTCTATTACGGAGTGCCTCAAGGTAGCACTGTCGGTCCTACCCTTTTTCTCTGTTACATTAATGAACTGTGTCAAATGAAACTTAGAAACTGCAAAATTATTTCATATGCAGATGACACCACATTGACATTCTACCATGATACTTGAGAGGGCGTCTTTGACTGTGCGCAGGAAGGGTTTAATATAGTAAGAAATTGGCTTGCAGCTAACTATTTAACTCTAAACACCGAGAAAACTAAGTACATTGCATTTTGTGTCGGTGGTCAACAATCCTTAACTTTCAGCTATAACATTCGGGCACATTCTTGCTCTAATTGGAGCTCCACCATTTGTACCTGCGCGTTCATTGAAAAAACCCTAAATATTAAATACTTAGGTATCACTATTGATTACCTCCTCTCCTTCAAAGAACACATCACAAGCCTCACTCAAAGAGTCCGTAAACTCATATACATCTTTAAAAAACTAAGACATGTGTTGGATTTTAAATTGTTTAAATCTGTTTATCTATCGCTATGTCAATCGATCCTATCGTATGGTATTTCCTCATGGGGAGGTGCGGCAAAAACCCATATGTTGCAATTGGAGAGAGTACAAAGGCTAATCCTAAAAGTTAGCCTTTCTAAACCACGTCTATACTACACGATTAGCTTATACCGCGACACAAAGTTACTCTCGGTCAGACAAATATATGTTCTTGCCACGGTGCTAAGACAACATGGGAAGATCATATTTAATGCTCATCATCCAAACGCACATAGGAGGAGGCATTATATGGTATGCGACCCAAAACTATTTAAGACATCCTTTGCACATAGATTCTTTTGCCATCAGGGACCTAGACTGTACAACCTTTTAAACAAAAGTCTTAATATATACAGTATGGTAAAATATAAATGTAAAGATACAGTTGTTACTTGGTTAGTTACTAAAACTTACGACGAAACTGAAAAACTTTTAACCATGTCGTAACAAGCGATAAAGGCCTCAAGTACGCACATCCATTCATCCCACGCATTTACTCACACACATGCACACTTACACACCACATACACACCCACACTAAATACATACAACACACACACTCACATGCACTCCTCACACACACACATACATAAACGCAAACAAATACACACACGCAACCACACTCTATTAGATTATATTTTCTTCTATATTCTATAAATTTGTTAAACTAATCCCTTACCATGTATATTGGAAATTTTAGGTACAGAATTGTTCAACCAAGAGGTGGAGACCAGGAGGCCTAAGATACAGGTCTTACCTAGTTTAGGCTCCTGTCTCTCACAATGTTTAATATGTACGCTCTGTTCCATTACTTTAAATTTATTGTGGGAGAAAATAAACAAATTATTATTATTATTATTATTATATATGTTATTACTTTCTGTTAAGTAATTCTTGCAGGTCTAGATATTTAAAAAACGCAATGAATAATTATTAAAAACGTTTTAATTTTTAATTTTGTATAGTTGTTCTCTTGTTGTGACTTTTTCGAAAGAATATTAACGCGTTTCGTGACATTTCTCACAATTAAATCATTTTTTTTGGAAAGTAACCAATGAAAAAAATCATTAATATTGTTATAAAGTATCTTAATGTTCAAATTAACAATGAAATTCTCTAAAATGTTAATTATGTTATTTATGATTCTCTTTACAGTCGCTTTACCTGCCACAATTTCGAAGTTCGCATTTAACTTTCTTGTTTGTTATGTTTTCGGAATGGTTTGTATACATAATAATCTTAGCTAACTTTGATACGAAAACCTAAATTTACAATCAGCGTAAACTGGAATTCTTTAATTAATCCGGTAGTCGTAGTAGTTCGAAGCGGTATATTCGTATTGGCAATGTTACTACATTTACTTACCGATATGGTTCCTTTGAACCGGGGGTCCATTCTGCGCAAACCGTCCATGAAATCGCGCACAATCTTGCGCGTGTGGTCGACGATCCGGAACCCCGTTATATTGACTGCACCGTACTCGGTTACTTCGTTCTCCCAGTGATCGTCCATAACCTGTTAATGGGAATACCTGAAGTTTTTACTGTGAGTACATCCCCGGTGAGTGGGAAACGAAGCAACTTCGGGCTATCTCAGAGTTTTTGCTCAAGTAATTTCATGTCAAGAGCTAACTACTCATATTGATATGAAAACAAACTTTGAATATTTGTGTGTATAAAACAATGGAACATGTAAACAAGTCGTAACGGCCATATTGAAAATATTCAAAGTTGTATTTATGAGCATTACAAGCCTAATCGAAAACATGTTTTGAATTTGCACCCTGTCACAGTTTTGGAACATTGTCGGTAAACAAGTGCATTGTAGACTAAAAAGTTTACTTTATCACTGCCCACATTGAATGAACTAGTTGTATAAGTACTATTTTTGGAGGACAACATTTTCGAATTGTTAAAAAAAAAAGAATCATTGTTTTCTGACTACAAAGTAGATAGAAGCAATACTCACCAATCCACTGAGCATGTAGTGGTACGTCCTGCGGCCTAATTGCACTTTTCGGACGTGCTCCACCAGAATATTTTTTGCATTTTTTGCGTTGCAATCTAGTACGATACGTTTGTTGCCCCATCGGTCGTGTTGTTCTAAGGCCAATAGGAAGTCGATGGCGTCAGACGCGTTATTAACTCGTTTTACTATTGAAATCTGGAATGCTGTGCGACCTGGCTGCATAGATTGATAAAGTTGTTGTAGACGCAGCAATCCTGACAGGACAAATAGCATGACTTTTACATTATTCATAAATTAGTGTTATTTTATCAGTGATCGGAATAGAGTGTCCCAAATGAATAGATAAATGTCCACGTATATCTACAAGTAGTGACATGGAGTATTTAAAACCACCAAATATTAATTAATTACTTTTATCAAATTCATAACGAAATTATTATGTATGTATACATAATAATCCACAAATTTCATTAAAATAAAATAATATCCGCATTAGTTAAAATATGCTTTTTACATGTAGCTCATTAAAATGTTTACTTTTTGAATTACTTTAAATTCAACTTCAGCTTCCTAAGTGTTATTATAAGTGAGTAAGTTTTATCTGATGATGTAGTAAAACTACACACATCAAGTGTTTTTTTTTATATAATATCAAGCGACGGGACGAACAAGTCGTGCGCCTGATGGTAAACTGCACGCCTGTCCATAACAGTTGCAGTGCCACTCAGAGCTTTAAATCGCAAAGATTTGAGGGGCAGTGTAAATGCGCCGGTCACACAGAGATATAAGTTGACTATCCACACACATCAGGGCCGTGCCCGGGACGTGGCCGTGGCGTGCTGATTTGTATGAACTGCGGGCCCGTCCCAGCCCCGGCCCGGACGCGGACATGTGTGAACGAGTTCATACAAAATTCTTTTGAGCCCCTGATGGAGCACGGCCCGTCCACGTCTCGGGCACGGCCCGGATATGTGTGGATAGACCATTACTCTTCAAAATCGGAATATAGTAATGCTGACATTACTGCTTGGCGGCAGAAATAAGTAAGGTGGTAGCACTTCCTTGGACAAACTCTTTTGACAAGGACCTCTAATGCTTCTAAATACTAAAAAAGTGTCTAGAGTCCAAGGTACATTTTTTATATTTTTATTACACTATTAAAATTATAAAAATATGACTATGAATTTATTCAATTATTTATTTTTTCAATTATGAAATTGACCGAAGAACCATTGGTGTTAAAAAGTAATTAATTAACATTTGGTGGTTTTAACCACCACCCCTCTATGTTACTCCTTGTATCTATACGTAGATATTTATCTACTCATTTGGAACACCCTATTACGAACACTGGTTATTATAATGTACATAAGGTCTAGTAAATAGTTCAACTATTACTGGTTTGTTGGAAAGAGTTAAAGTGCTATTAGTAAGTTCGCACACCAAAGAAGTTTGAGAGCGCTTCAACCCATCTTTTATTGTGGTGGCAATATGTCTAAGGAGTTATAGCTTTCCAAGTCATATCTTCTCTAGACAAGATTTTGGCGGCTATCACGATGAAAAATTTGAAGATCTGTTTTATAGTTGTCTATCGCGAAAACCAATATTTTCTAAAGTCTAACTTTCGTAATCATTCTAGTTTAACAGAAACTGGGGAGTAGTTTTTTTTTATTTGCAGAAAAAGTCCTTAATATCTTAAAACGCTACTTTCATATTACTCTTATATATAAATTGTTATGGCAAGCTCAGTTAAATATGGTTAAGGAGTCGGGTGACTGGCATATTTTTATAAGTGGAGAAACACGCGCAGGAAGGCCATCGGAGCCAGTCGCTACGTACTCTTATTGGCTGGACGTTACACGGATTCGCTTACAGTAGGACTAAAGCGGTAGAGTTTGTTACCCATCTTAACGAACTGGAGTATGACTCCGTTGAAGCACTTATGCGTGAACAGTATAAGCTGGTCGCAATAGGTATAGCTAAAATACGGCCTAAAAACAATTTAGATGATCAACGCGCTTTAGACATAATGGATTCAACGGCCCGTCGCATTCCCTCAGGTCGTTTTGAAGTTGGCCTACCGTGGCGCTATACGCGCCGATTTATTTCGCCGTTCCCGACAGTTACGCACAGGCTTTATCCCGGTTTATGTCATTGGAAAAGCCGATGGCGAAGGACGAGGCCTTCGCAATAGCAGCGTATCGTAATTTTAACACAGGTATTTTAAACAAAAGGGTACGCTGAAGAATGTCCGCTGTCCACCTACCACTCTAAGGCTAAAGTTGACAGTGAAACGTCTCCTAATATTCGACGGTACTTACCTTATTTTGGTGAGACTTAACTATCGTCTGTTGGTGCTGGGCATTCTATTTTGTTTCGGTGAAGGTAAAATTGCTGTCTCTGGGGTTGTTAGAGAAATGTTCCCACAAATAAAAATTAGAGAATGCGATCGTGACGCACAAGGTTTTTTATTGCAAGATGGTGACAGCCTCGCCGCAACTACCAAAGAGCCAACCGCGAGCTCGCGCGCGGGCATTAAAGAGTACAGGATGGCGTCAATGATTTTCGGCGCCGTTTCCAGCCTGTTCATGGCATTATATATAAAAATTAAAAACGCTTTAGTGTAGAAAGATTCGATTTATGAGACCGCACTAGACACAACAGACAATCATTATATGGACGATTATATAACAAGTCTTAGCGATATCAGTTGGCATGAAAGTTGGCGTTGAATGTATATATGGTGCATCAAGCATGCTGTTTCGAGATGAGGTCTTGGTTGGCAAATGATGCGTGCGCACTTAGGTCCACTTTATACCTAACACGTTGACATCGTTGGGTAATTTGATTTCGGCGCTGGGATTTGCCCTAAATTCGTTAAGTATACTAAATTATACGTTATTATAGGTATAAAGTGGAATCCTGCACACGATACGTAAGGGTTCCGTACGGGTCGACAATTCGTTCGATAAACTACGACAAAACGAATTGTTTTGTCTCGTGTTATGAAGGTTTACTATCCACTTGGTTTAATCACTCCCGCTGTAATTAAAGGTCGCATCCTTATTCAAAACTTATGGCGTAGTGGTCTGGGCTGGGACGACGAACTACCACCTCACTATGCCAACGCATAGCAACATTGGGCGGAAGCGATTATGTCACTCAGTAATTTGCGAATTCCTCGTTGGTACATACAGTCAGATCTGCAGCTCGCGGACGTGCAGTTCCACGTAATTGCAGATTCTAGTGAATTAGCATACGCCCGTGTCGCATATTGGCGTATAGTATTTTGTACTACATTTATTAAGCTTTGCCTTATAGGGAGCAAAGCTCGTGTAACCCCATTAAAGCTGTGTACTATTCCCCATCTTGAACTGCAGGCTGCACTCATAGCCGCACGATTCGCAAAAACTGTCACGGACAGCCATCAATTGAAACCATCATCAACAGTTTTTTCGTCGGATTCCATTACTGGCTTGAAATGGTTACGTGGTGACTCTAGGCGGTACAAATCGAACGGTGTCTTTTCAGATGAGGTCCTCCTTCCACAACCTCCAGTACCGGACCCGAATCGTTTTAGTACATGGTCACGTTTACTAAGGGCCACAGCTCGCGCTGATTTTTAGATCGTTTCTTGGCTTGCCCTTAACTCTAAATTCAAAATTATTTTGTATTCAAAATGATTTTACGCAATCTTCTGCCATGGACTTCTCACTGGCAGAGTCGTTACTTCTTTTGAAGTCGCAGACTGACAGCTTTGGAGTCGAAATGGCCCACATTCATGAGTCCAAGCCCATTTCAAAAACAAGTCGTCTCTCATCATTTTCGCCTAGGCTTCAGGTGATCTCCTGGATTTGGATTCCAGAATTAAGGTACTGCCCAATGAAGATGAACACACGAACACCCGTATACTCCTCGACAATCGCCAACGTATCGTGTGCCTGTTAATCGCCAATCTCCATAACAAGGCTGGTCATCGCTTTCACGAATACCTACTACTCAACGATTTAAGACAGCGGTTCTGGGTGCTACGAGATCGCAGAGCTGTCAGAGCCGTGGCGGCAGAATGTTTTGAATGCAAACGCCGTAAAAGCTCCCCACGATGTCCACCATTAGGCGACCTTTCTCCGGAGAGACTTCTTTATCATACAAGACCATTTAACAACGTGGCATTGATTACTTCGGACCTGTGCTTGTATCGATCGGCCGACGCCGTGAAAAAAGGTGGGTAGCTGTTTTCTCCTGTTTAGTCACTCGCGCCCTTCATCTAGAGATAGTAACCACTCTATCAACTGACTCCACCATAATGACCCTAAGAAGACTGATTACGAGACGAGGCTCCCCGAGTAAAATTCTATCTGATAACGGCACAGTGTCGCGAGACGAGAATTAATTGCACCTTCTGGACTACGTATTGAAAACTACTCTGCCTTTAACAAAACACAATGACATGCGTACTCCCGGCCGCTCCTTTCATGCCTGGCGAATTGGACGACAGTGAAGCGAAGGTCGTTATGGAAACAGCCTACTTTCATCAGGATACCGTCCAGCCCATCTGCGAAAAGCACTCCATCGCTGTCTGTATCAGGTGATATTATTGTAATTGCCTACTTGCCGACCACTTACCGACCAGCCATTTCCATTAATTAACCGTGATCTGCATCAGGGCCCGGGATGTAGGCAACTGGCTGGTGCAGTGGCTCGCTAACAGCGACGAATAATTTAAACCTTTGTCAGTCAATATCAGCGGGCCGCCAGTGCTTTGTTTTTTATCAATTTGTGAATTATATTTTAATATATTACTTTAGCACTTACCTGATATTATAATTGTTCGCTCGCTCGTTAACAGTGTTCTTATCACATGTATGTATAAGTCAAACTTTAACCTTATTAAACTTCAAACTTTAACACTTGTTAAAATTTACGTATAACTGAATTAAAAGCTTTTAACTGCAGCTGCCAAGAGCAGAGTGTGCAAATATGTATTACAAAGGTTATGGACAGGATAACAAATTTCAAAATCCGTACAATCTGAACTGTACCTTCAAAGATTTTTAACCGACTTCAAAAAAGGAGGAGGTTCTCAATTTAAGTGTATTTTATATGTATGTTACGTTACGTTACGTGATTTCTTTTTATTACGCAGGAAATACCTCAGAAGTAATTCCATTTAAATTTTAAGAAAATATTCCATCTCTAGAGTGGTTTATTAGGGGATGAATCCGGTTTATTGGATTTCACTCACTTTCCGTTA